GCGGGAATCCTAGGTGCTGCAGTTTTTTTTTCCCTTTTTTTCTCTTTGTCTGTCCCTTTCGTTTGCTTCTTTTTCGACCAACTTTGACAGGCTGAAGCTGGCAGATAACCAGGCTGTGTCCCAGTCTGACACTTGTCCTTGCAGCCTACTTGCTGTGGGTAGCTACTGCGAGGCATCTAATGGACGCCGATGTGCTCCTCACGATAAAGTTCGAGGCATGGCCTGTCCGCGAAATGACCAAAATTCATAGAAAAACGAGGCGATAAAAAGCCACCTCGACACAGGTCAAGGTGTCGGCAATGCAGTGCAATAGGGATCGCCCGATTGGGCGCCCCACACGACGACACGCGAGCATGCTCCTTCATCAATGAGATGTCGATTTGTGCTTGTCACGCCACCGGGAGCCAATCGAGTCGCCACACCCTTTGCATGCAGCAACAGCCAGCCAATAGGAAATGTCGGTGCACCGAACGCTTGAAGCCGACGCCGACCAACCGAATCGCAGAGCCAGACAAAGATAAAGTGGTACAACTGGGCCAACTTGATTGCTGAGAGCGAGGGCGGTGGAAACTCGCCTAGTCACGCCAAAACCCTGTGCAGCGGGGCTAAGCGTTGCGGCGGAAAGTACTTGCATCAAGAGCCATGATAAAGTCAACAAAATCAACGTTGAAGGAGCCGCCGAGTTGCCAGCAAAGGCAGGTCGAGATCTTCGGTGCATTGGAGCTAGCGTGCTAGGCGAGATGCAGGAGGTGCAGTAGCTCGTTTTGACGGACGTCAAGCGAAATCCAAGCTCCGAGCTGCGGGGGACCCAGCACTGTGCAACAGCTCTACGCCACGGCCCCCACTTCCAAAAGTGCCAACGAGCGCTCGCGTGCATTTGTTCTTTTTCCCTTCTTATCTCGCTGCAGCTCGTGCTCGGAAGTCGCCTGTCCGACTCGCATCAAGCTGAAGCCTCGGTCGTTTTCCATGCCGCCTTCTCCGCAATGCTTTCACCGCCGCCGTCGCTGTGTCGAACAGACTCATACTCTGCTCTCTAGCAGAGACACGCACCTTTCGTGACGACAGAATGATGCAATGCGCATCCAAGTCGGCGTCGCTATGATATCGTACTGTCATACAGACTCGAAAACTCGAAAAGGCAACTTAGCATCGCGGCGGCTGCGCGCAAAGAAGGATGGCAGCAGATGCATAAGCGAAGCTCTTGCTCAATAGCGCCGCTCCGTCGGTTGATCGGCTTCCGACAGCAGCCTGCATGAAGTCAATATCGTGCCGCCCCTTTGGCCGAGTCGCTCGCTGGCAAGCTGCGTTTCATCATAGCCGCGGGCTTGGCAGATCTTCGGTGCGTTAGCGAGCAACCGCCAGCAGAGCATCACTTTCATAGCCGTGACTAATTTACATGGCCGGTCCAGCACGAACCCCCTCTTGCCCCTCGTGTCGCTAGTGCGCACGCGACGGCGCTTGCGTACGGAGGTCCTTGCACGACCCCGCCTCGTCCAAGGACCCGCTTGACTTCGACAATGAACTTCATCCGGGAGCAAAATGCCCGCCGGAACAGCGACAGCGTTGCAAAAGACAACCGACCACAGGTGTGCGCGCGTCGGATGGCGTCGATGCGACATCCCAACGCCGAGGTCAGCTGAGCGTCGCTCTGCATTATCTTGCCTGCTTCCCCAACCCGCTGCAGATACCCGGGCTGTGCATCTCGCGTGCGAACGTCGTTAGTCCAGGATGCAATGAATTGACCGTTCTTCTGCCTGTTGTATCGCGAATGGTGCAATCTAACCTTCTACGTGAGACAGTGCCGGTCCGGCCCGCTTTGCGAGTCTAAGTTTACTTTGCCCCAGCCTTGGCTCTTCGACCTCGCTGCTTAGCCTCTGGGTTAGCCTTCAGCCGCACAGACTGAGACGCGGCTAAGCACAAGGCAACAAGGATCATCGCCGTGAGTCTCTTTTGCCTGTCTCACTAGGCGCGCGTCAACTTGCAGTGTTGGTCTCGCTTGCGCTGTCAACCTGGCCACCTCCTTGACCTTTCTTCTCAAGCGCTCAGCTCGGTCGCCGAGCAGCAAGAAGAACTCGAGCTTGGCGTGCACCCAAGCTCGACAGCACTGTCGGCTCCTTTTCCCCACTCCGCTCGGCTGTCCCGTGTTCCTTCGAACCCTCGCTTGGCTCGGAACACCCTCTTCCATGCCAGCCAACTTCCGCCATGTGGCTTCTATCTTCTCACCATCGTTGCCATACAGTATTGCACTTGATTGCCGGTAGAGCAAGAGCGGGCCGTCGCGCCCCGAGCTTCTCTCTCACCCTCTCTGCTGTGAACAGCCATCGTCGTGATTCGCACCAGGTCCCTGCGCACTCGCTGCCAGCCTAATCCATGCACAACAACGACATATAAGAAGACGCTATGATCCTTTCCTCTTGGGTTCTGTCCCCTAACCCCATCTCGGTTGTGCACCCCCC